CAAGGAGCTGAGATATGAGGACAAAGAGCTGGGATATGAGGCCAAGCAGCTGGGATATGAGGACAAGGAGCTGAGATATGAGAACAAGGAGCTGGGATATGAGGCCAAGCAACTGGGATATGAGGCCAAGGATCTGGGATATGAGGCCAAGCAGCTGAGATATGAGGACAAGCAGCTGGGATATGAGGCCAAGGATCTGGGATAGGACGGAGGGAAGGAATAGTGCCGTATAACCCGTTCTCTTCAATAATACATGACACATTGCCGTCGAAATTCCCAACGGACAAAGAACGTGGTACTATAAATCAAAGCGGCTCGGAAATAACCACGAGAAGGTAGGTTATAAGATCGCGTGGTTGCGTGTATAATATATCGTGTATATATATATATATATATATATATATATATATATATATATATATATATATATATATATATATATATATCAACAGTATTTTATATGAGTGAAGTACTGTATACCAAAAAAAGATAAGATATAAACTGTTAATTGGGTGCTAAAATCATCAAGACAAATAAGGCCGTAAGACAAGGGGATATAAATTCTGTAAGTTTAGATTTAAACCCGAGTAAAATACAGGTCTGGAACATGTTGCTAGGTAACATTAGACGTTTTGGTTGTTTCAAGCGAAGGTTAGACATGTACAAGAGTTCTAGGTTGGATAGGAGCTGCCTCACACGGGTCCAAAGAAACCATCTCTTTATTATCTGTACTATCTGTTCTCGAAACATTTCCTGCATTACTGTTGCTAGGCTTAGCTAGGTAGATACCGGGGGGGGGGGGTTCCTCAACCCCATCACCCCCTACTATCTTGCGGTTACCTTGCGATGATTTCGGGGCTCAACGTCCCTGCGGCCCGGTCCCCGACAAGGTGCAACAGCTGGTCGTCAACCAGGCTGATGGCCGCGGCTGCTCGCAGCCTGGAGTATGAATCACAGCCTGGTTGATCAGGTAAACTAGGGGAGAGAGAAATGTGAGAGTTTGGTGGCTATTAGGGTTGTGATAGGGAGAGAGTGGGGGGGGGGGTAGTAATTACTGTACATCTTTCTGTATTTTTTCCTTAATCAATTTAAAGTAAGAAAATGATTTCAATATAAAGATAACAGAATCGTCTGTATCCTAAATAAGATGTCTTTATCTCACTGATAACATTTGTTTACCTAACGTTATATTTCTATCACAATCTAATTTGTTCAGAGATAAAATAGTTTCTATCTTATGCTTATCAGTAAGTCCAGCAGGTTATTCACTCTGCATATACACTGTTAATTTAATTTAAATTAAATTAAATTCTTTATTCAGGAAAAGTACATACATAGTTAATTTACAAACATAATGCTGGATTTATAGTAGAGCTAGTACATACAATACCTAAAGCCACTAATACGCATAGGGTTTCGGGCAAGGAATACCTTCAGTATTGAAATATGCTTATTTTTTCCGGTAATAGATTCATTGATCCGTTTTGCTTATTTCATATCCAAACATGAATGTATGTTAGCCTCATGTTATTTTCAGCTTAACTGAGCAGAGGAGGTATTGAGCGCCCCAAGAACGTAATTATCGTTTCTCTCTCTCTTTTCTTTCTCTCAATAAGAATGATTCTCAACGTGAGGATAAGATAAGTTCCTTCTTGGGATCTTTCCTTTTCCTGAAAGATTACTGAAGAATAACCCAACAAGATCTCTGCGTCTCTGAGCCAGTTACCATCTGTTCAAACTCTGCCTCTTCTAGCCTTGGCATACACATGTTCTATCACACACACTTGCTGAACCATGGAATGGTCCTATTGGATGTAAATTAGCCTCTTAAATTTAATATTGGATATTAAATTGTAAATTGGATGTAAATTGTATATATATATATATACATATATATATATATATATATATATATATATATATATATATATATATATATATATATATATATATATATGCATATATATATATATATATATATATATATATATATATATATATATATATATATATATATACACACACAAGAAGGTACATTGGGTTTCTATGAGTACATAGCATGGTGCGTTTACATTTTTGTAAAGCCACTAGTACGCATAGCGTTTCGGGCAGTATTCACAATGTGTTCACAATGCCAGAGTATCACAAGTCATTTTGTTATACAGGCGAAAGGCAGACATATCCAGCTCTGTCGTTATTCCAAAGTACATCATACATATGTTCTGTCATCCCTCATGCAGACATTGAACACGTCAGAAAAGTGAACACATATAACCTAGAAAACGATCGTTATACTACCATATTTAAATTGCTGATCAGTTATACATCAATTAAAGGCATTAATATATTGTCATTTGCTATCATCTAGCGAGAATTACCTGTTTCAGGCGAGTGGCTACCTGTTCAAACTCTGCCTCTTCTAGCCTTGGCATACACATGTTCTATCACACACACTTGCTGAACCATGGAATGGTCCTATTGGATGTAAATTGGCCTCCGCCAATTACCAATGTCCCATGCATAATATCCAGTAGTATTTACACACGTGCATCATACCTGGACTACTAATTAGCCATTGCCTCGACTACTAAATTACTACAAACCTTTATTGATCCAACGTACTGACATCAAGAACGTTACTCTGTCAATTCTGATTTGTAAGTTCATTAATATATATATATATATATATATATATATATATATATATATATATATATATATATATATATATATATATACATATATATATAAATATATATATATATATATATATATATATATTTGGCTGTTGATTGCTGGTGTTGACTTCTTGATGTGTAGCGCCTCACAAACGTCAAGCCGCCTGCTATCGCTGTATCTATCGATGATTTCTGTGTTGTTTACTAGGATTTCTCTGGCGATGGTTTGGTTATGGAAAGAGATTATATGTTCCTTAATGGAGCCCTGTTGCTTATGCATTGTTAAACGCCTGGAAAGAGATGTTGTTGTCTTGCCTATATACTGGGTTTTTTGGAGCTTACAGTCCCCAAGTGGGCATTTGAAGGCATCAAGCCGCCTGCTATCGCTGTATCTATCGATGATTTCTGTGTTGTTTACTAGGATTTCTCTGGCGATGGTTTGGTTATGGAAAGAGATTATATGTTCCTTAATGGAGCCCTGTTGCTTATGCATTGTTAAACGCCTGGAAAGAGATGTTGTTGTCTTGCCTATATACTGGGTTTTTTGGAGCTTACAGTCCCCAAGTGGGCATTTGAAGGCAACAAGCCGCCTGCTATCGCTGTATCTATCGATGATTTCTGTGTTGTTTACTAGGATTTCTCTGGCGATGGTTTGGTTATGGAAAGAGATTATATGTTCCTTAATGGAGCCCTGTTGCTTATGCATTGTTAAACGCCTGGAAAGAGATGTTGTTGTCTTGCCTATATATATATATATATATATATATATATATATATATATATATATATATATATATATATATATATATATATATATATATATATATATATTATATATTTTGGTAGCAGTCTATCCTGTAGACATATATTATTAAATATGACCGAAAAAGTAAGATTAATAATTCTAACACGAATTTTCTCAATCTTTCGTACATTATGCTTCACTGTTGGAGGTAAATCAAAAATCACTTCTCCAAAATTCATTTTTATTTCTAGTCTGACGCGACACGGGCGCGTTTCGTAAAACTTATTACATTTTCAAAGACTTCACAAATACACAACTGATTAGAACTTGCGTTTCCCTGATTTTATATCTACATTTGAGTGAGGTGGGAAGGGTGATGTGGCATTACATTTGAGTGAGGTGGGAAGGATGATGTGGCATTAACACAAGACAGAACACTAGAGGATATTAATAGGGTATTAAAAGTATCAACACAAGACAGAACAGAAACAATGGGTATTGAATAGAAGTGTTTGTAGAAAGCCTATTGGTCCATATTTCTTGATGCTTCTATATTGGAGCGGAGTCTTGAGGTGGGTAGAATATAGTTGTGCAATATTATTGCACAACTATATTCTACCCACCTCAAGACTCCGCTCCAATATAGAAGCATCAAGAAATATGGACCAATAGGCTTTCTACAAACACTTCTATTCAATACCCATTGTTTCTGTTCTGTCTTGTGTTGATACTTTTAATACCCTATTAATATCCTCTAGTGTTCTGTCTTGTGTTAATGCCACATCATCCTTCCCACCTCACTCAAATGTAATGCCACATCACCCTTCCCACCTCACTCAAATGTAGATATAAAATCAGGGAAACGCAAGTTCTAATCAGTTGTGTATTTGTGAAGTCTTTGAAAATGTAATAAGTTTTACGAAACGCGCCCGTGTCGCGTCAGACTAGAAATAAAAATGAATTTTGGAGAAGTGATTTTTGATTTACCTCCAACAGTGAAGCATAATGTACGAAAGATTGAGAAAATTCGTGTTAGAATTATTAATCTTACTTTTTCGGTCATATTTAATAATATATGTCTACAGGAAAGACTGCTACCAAAATATACTATATATATATATATATATATATATATATATATATATATATATATATATATATATATATATATATATATATATATATATATATATATATATATATATATACACACACAAGAAGGTACATTGGGTTTCTATGAGTACATAGCATGGTGCGTTTACATTTTTGTAAAGCCACTAGTACGCATAGCGTTTCGGGCAGTATTCACAATGTGTTCACAATGCCAGAGTATCACAAGTCATTTTGTTATACAGGCGAAAGGCAGACATATCCAGCTCTGTCGTTATTCCAAAGTACATCATACATATGTTCTGTCATCCCTCATGCAGACATTGAACACGTCAGAAAAGTGAACACATATAACCTAGAAAACGATCGTTATACTACCATATTTAAATTGCTGATCAGTTATACATCAATTAAAGGCATTAATATATTGTCATTTGCTATCATCTAGCGAGAATTACCTGTTTCAGGCGAGTGGCTACACATCCTCGTTCACTTCCTGAAAGCTTTCCACTATGGGGAGGAGGACTCTGGTGCTGCCACCAACACTACTGACTCCTCCTCGGGGCTGGTGATCAACCTTGCTGACTACCGGCTCCAGGGACTAGGTTACTACTGGATTGCTGCCACCACCGTCTCTTACACCTTCTACCTCGGCATTGGCGGCTTCCTCCATGTTAGTCTTCAACTATAGGAATATTATTCACTCGTTAATTTCAGATGAGGAATATTAATTGGATTAATTTTGTTTGCGACAGATTTATATTGCAAGTAGGGTGCATAGATCAGTGGTTCATACCGATAAGTTGCCCCCGAGATCCGCCTCTTATATCCCATGTTCTGCTGTTCATTCCACAGTGGTATTATTACGTTCGGCAGCGCGATCGCCCCGAAGAATGGAAGTGTCAGCCTAACAAGTTCATGTCGCCGGAGCTGGAGCGTCACGAGATCCTGCTAGGGTCCTTTTCTCTCCTGCTTGGCTCCACCGTATCCTCCATCATCTCCTGCTACATCATGAACGGCGGCAGCTCCACTATATACTACAACATCACCCAGTACGGTTGGCTGTGGTACTTCGCCTCCTGGCCCGTTGTCTTCATCTGGCAGGTAGGCTCCTGGGCGTACACACTTCTCCACATAAAATTGTTTTATTTTGCTAAATTTTCTTCATAGCCTAATCAACACTTATAAATGTTACTATAGAAAGCACAGAAGGGACATAATAATTCCTGCAGGATACTTAGAGGCACTGCCAAGTACAAGACAATCGGGTCACGAGAAAGTTGCTTTCATACATTTTTACTCCGGTTGTGTAAGAAATGTCTAAGGCTATTTTTTCTTTCCAAATTCCTAACTTGAATTCTTTGATAAAGATGCGGAAGTTTTAATCCACTTTTTAATTTGATTCCACTGTGTACAAAAATAGCTTCTATATTATATTTTCAGGTATTATCATGACTTTGAATACAGAACTCTCAGCTGTCTTACGTTCTTAGTACCTGACTGATTCCCTGGCATGTAATAAGGTTCCTCTTGTGTACAGGACTACATGACGTACTGGCACCATCGTATCTACCACATGCCCTTCCTCTACAAGCACTTCCACAAGCTCCATCACAAGTACAAGCAGCCCACAGCCTTCAGCGTCACCGCCATCCACCCCTTTGAGTTCCTCCACATGCAGGCTGTCCTCGTGAGCCCCATGTTTCTCTTCCCAGTCCACTGGAGTGAGTGCTCGGCTTCAACCCCTTCCTAACAGTTGTTGTTTTAGATTCAGCTACTCAGAACAAAAAGTTACAAGTTGCATGGGCTATGTTGAGCCCGTAGTGGACTTACCTGGCACAGGAGCGGGGATATAGAACTGTGTTCCTAACAGTCAGCCTTATCATCTAGTAGCCAGTCCAGACTCCCCAGCATCCCAGCGGATAGTCTTCATTCCTCCATATTTTACCTTTATGCTCATCTTGTGAGCAGTAGCGCAAAACAAGAATTATAGAGGGCATAGCTCTTTATTAGACCTCAATGGCATTCTAGCAATTGATCCTGGCTCCCAGCATCCTAGTAATTAGCCTTGGTTCCTCCAGCATCCTAGTAATTAGCCTTGGTTCCTCCAGCATCTTAGTAATTAGCCTTGGTTCCTCCAGAATCTAATAACCCCTGACCCTTTTCCTGTAACCTTTGAATATCAAACCCAGACGCCATGTCAAACTTCTGATGAACAGTGATAATTCCTCGAGGTAGTTAAGAGATATCAGCTTAATACCCTATAATGTCCCAATGACCAGATCATTGTACTATTACTTCCTTGTGACTATTCCTTTCCCCATAAAGACTTTAGTGGGTTTCCGTGACTCTTACAGTGTCTTAGTGACTACCTATGTCCCGCATAGTTTCCAGGTGAATTACCTTATCCATTGTTATCTCCAGGTGATGAGGCCTCATTAATATGTTAACTTATGACATCTTTGTGAATCCTGGCCCATGTCTATGTCATATTGCCTTCAAATGAATCCCATTCTTCTGTACTGTCCTATGACCCATACTGCTCATGATAGCCACCTAGTATCAGATTTTTCCTCAGTGACTTTACTTTCATCTCTGGCTCCTTTGTTCAGGGTCAGGTGATAGACCTTCATGGTTCTTTAGTGCTGTTCAGTAGAGGCTAGTAATTTTTTTAAATTTTTAATGTTCTAAGTAAAAAAAATCTTTACTCTAAGCCTTCTGAAACTGTACTGATTTTTGTGCAGCATGTGGGGGTTATATTTTGCATTTATCAATTATTATTTATATTTACCACTACAGTTGTTTTCACTTACAGGATGCTGAATCATAGACTTGGGTCCTGGGGCGAGGTTGCTCTCTGGTTGATGCATTTTTCTTTCTAGGGCGATTCATACAGATTTTTCTCTATCTCTCACTCGGTGACTTTTTCAACAGTGAGACAGCTTGGTTTGAGTGGGAAAAGGTTGGGTTGAGCTCTGCTGGAGTATCTGCCTTCACAGGCTGAAGCAACATATGGTGTTTGTTATTTTGTTGTACTATTCTCTCCTTTAAATTTTTGTTTTCTTGGCATTTCCATATCTAAGTACAGGTATTTGTGGGTATGGTTATCTGGTATGGCTGTTGATGGAACTTTTGTCTTTTTGGGGAACTTTTGACTTTTGTTATACTGGCAGCAAGTTGGCTTCTTGATGAGTAGACGCTTTGGCTGCATTGGAGGATATTTCTGAAAGCAGTATTATAAGTTCAGGTGAATATATTTACTTTAATCAAGATGAGGCAAGTGATCAATTTCACAGGGAAAAAAAAGATTCATACCTTTTTTTTTTGTTACAGTGAATAGGTATGTGCTTTCCACTGTCGAGACATATAACCACAAGGGCCTTCTTGTGCCAACTTATTTGTTCACACTGTATGTTGATAGGTTGGGGAACTATTATTTAAATTCAACTTATTCTCTTTTCTTCGGCCGACAGCTGTGTTTGTAACGCTGCTTATGTACCTCTACTACCATGGGATCATCGACCACTCGGGTATTAACTTCAAGGCACATTGGTGGCAACCGTGGCAACCTGACTGCATCTTCCACGACAACCATCACCAGTACTTCCACGTCAACTTCGGCTTCAACTGCGAGCTCTGGGATAAGGTTAGCTGAGAGAAGTGTTTTTACGAAGAAGGGGTTAGCTGATGCATGTATTTTATTAAGGTTATGATTAGTTGTTGTAGTTCTTTCAAAGATGAGGTTAATAAATACAGGATTGTTTTAAAGTTAAGACTAGATGATACATATGTTCTGCCAGGTATGAAGGTAGTTGATGTTTTTCCATATATATAGAATAGTCAACTTATGCAGGTGTTTATTCAAATACATGAGATTTGTTGTTGCAAATGATTTCCAAATATGTTTGGTAGATGCAGGTGTTCTTCCTTATATGAAGCTGAAGAACGTGTTCTTTCTAATATGAAGGTAGATATACCTATCTTCCAAGGATCAATCGATAAAAGTGTTCTTCCAAATACTGTACAAAGTTGATGAAGGTATTTTTCTGAAGATTAGGTTAGTCTATGCTGGTTAAAGAATGAGATTATTAAATGCATATGTACTTAAACATATATTACCCAAGTTGCTAATAGTTTTACAACTCAAAGGCAATGTGGAGTATTTTGTTATCAGGATCCTAGGTAATAATAATACCCAAGTAAATATCCTAGGTAATGGAACCACATGAAATATGTATTAACATTTTAAGATTCCAAATTATAACTCTTGTCATTATTTGTACCAGATATTAGGATTATTTCAATTCCAAAGTGTTGTGGAATCTATAGTGCACACCGGTACTTTTTGGACATTTTATTGCACCGTAAATTTTGAGTAAAAATTAATGTTCGATTAATAAAATTAGTCCATCAGTAGTGCCTAGGTAAAAAAATTAAAAAGTGTCAGTTTAAATGTTTGAGCAGAGAAAGTGGTCAATTCATTTTATCCCAATAGCTTATGGCAATAAATTTTTAGCATACGACCTACTTTTTACATCATTTTAGTGCAGGGCCTAGTATCTAAATGTTTTAAACCTAGGATGCTTTGGCTCTAGTGTTTAGCCAATGACCTGTTGCTGTCAGAGCTTTACCCTAAGATCTTTGGGTTTCAACATTTTAACATGGGATTTGTCTGCTTGGGCATGAGCACTGATAATGAAATAGAACATAAGAATACAGGGAACCTGCTGAAGGCTTATTGGCCTGTGTGAGGCAGCTCTTATTGGCCCACTTGAGGGGGACTTCTAATTTTGCCCAAACTCATATATATACACAATTTACGAACCTTTACTCAAGACAATTCAGCGATTCCTCATCTATTATGTTAGTCAGTAATTTGTTCCATAAATCCTCAACCCCTATTTCCAGACAAATATTTACCTACGTCTTTTCTGAGTCCTAGCTTATCCAATTTTTATCCATTGTTTTGTGATATTTTGTATATGCATCTGCATACAATATAACACCTTATTAATATTCTCTATTGTTATATCAATTCATCCACTTATATACAGTACTTCAGTCTTATCACCCCTTATTCTTTTACCTTACATGAAAATGTAAATTAAACTATCTAAAACTCTCTTTATAAAAGGGGCTTCTGATTTCTAAGGGTATTATAATCTTCATATTTTGGTTGAATACATCCTGTTAAACTAAGCTTATAGTGTTTCAGACCAAGGACATTTTAGCACGAGTCTTTGTTACATAACTAACCTAAGCCCGAGTTAAACGCCCAGTGCTAACAGAGTACCATATCAACAATATGACATGTTATCCTCCACAGATCCACGGCACATACCGCCAGAAGGATAAGGTGTACCGCGAGGACATCTACTATGGCAAGGGCAAGGAACTGATCCAATGTACAAGAAAGGAGCTGACGGAGGAACTGGAGGAGAGAGAGAGTGAGAACCATCTGGCTTACCGTGGGCCACAGCGGGATGACCAGGTGAAGGAGATCAAGAGCAAACTTAGTTAAGTTGACCTGGGCCAGACCTAACGTGAATGGAGGTGTAGGTTATACTCACCAACCATTTGAAATAGACCATCTTATTACCTCACAGACCACTTGGATTGGGTATTATTCAAGTAATGCTAATCCACCTCACATATTATTTGAACTGGTCAGTGTCTGACAAGTGCTGACTCAGCTAACTAGTATTTTATTGTACAGTAGTACCTTCAGTATTGAATCTTTGATCATTTACCTTGACTGGATTGCTTATTCATTTCCATGATTTTATGTGATTAATATCTACAGTTACACATGACGCATATAGTATAGTTTCAAGATGCCTCAACTATTCGTTTAGTTTACAAATTCAAGTATTAAATGGAATGAGAAATGCATTGTGTATGATCATTCTAGTAGATTTAATGAGGCACAGTCGATTATAATTTCTGAACTCTTTTGGTTTGGTGTTGGGCTTAAGGTCTATTAATCGCAAGAGTTATTACCACCACATGGCCTATCAACTGCGGATGTGTTGTGAAGGCGATCACAAGGTCTGTCAACCTCTGGAGGGTTATTAACTCTACATTAGTACTATGGGTTGTTTGAACATACAAAACAAATTTTGATGCTCAAATTTCACAGTTGGCAACAATGATATTCCTGATCTTTCTCAATCCTTCCTGAATCATTGACTCGAGTAAACACTTCAGTTACAGCAATCCTAACCTAGCTTGTTAGGTTAGATTTTTTTCCAGAATATTTTCTTCCTCTTGGGGTGTAGTCAACATTGTGCCTACAATGTTCCATTGTAGGAACATTGAAGGCTGACTCAGTTATATTATCTAGTTTGTTAATGGTGCATTTTCCAAAGAACTATTCATGTTCGTTTTCATCTTAATAAATAGATGAAAAACAGCTTTGAATGCTTTACTGTACCAATGTGTAATGCACGAGACAAAATATACAATTACAGTACTGATACAACACAAGATTCTTTTATATTATTCTTAAATTTGTTGTATTGGGTGAGCAAACGCCCCGGCTACTTACGAAAGCTAAGGCCACAAACACCTTACAGATCAACAAGCAATTATACATTAGTTATGTATTCTAAGAATGTTGTATATCAAAGCTGAAGTGACAAAGGGAGAACTGAGAACAAATAATATTTTTATACATGATTTAAAAATTATGTATATTGTAAATAAAAATAAATACAATTTGTATACATTCTTTCCTTTTGATACTACTGTACTTCACTCTCGATAAGTTTAATAAAATCCAACACCCCACCATATTCTAGAGAGGTTTAAATATATAAAATATATGTCTATATAGGTCAAATATATATAAAAAATATAGGTTTTGCTGTGTAGTGGTCAACGCAGTTAGGTCATGTCTGAAAGGTCTCGGGTTAAGATTCCCAAGACAGGACAGAAATACTTTGCCAGTTTTCTTTCACATTATGCCTCTATTCATCTAGCAATAGAAACCTGGGAATTAGGCAGTTGTTGTCGGCTTCATCCTGGGAAAGGTCAGTAGTAGGCCTACGGGGGAAAGAAGGGGGATGGGGGGGGGGGATTAACAGGCTTCCTGTCCTCAACAATGGAAAATCATAACTCTTGGTACTGTATCCTATTTTTAAAGTAAGTAATTATAAAAAAGAAGGCGCCAAACCGGGAAGGCTATGTAGCACCATCAAATGTGCGGTATAATCAGAGGGCACTAAATGTCACCAAGGATGTCAATACGAGAACAGAAATGCATAAGGTGAACAATATTAAAAGTATCCGAGTCACCAAGAATACTATCGAGAGACAAGCGACTGCGGGGGACGGTTCCTATTTTTAAAAGGACAATGTTATTCTTCATATTCCAATATATGTACACACTAAATTTTATTTTATGCTGTACAACAAATATACCTGATGAATACAAAAATACAGTATTGTAGTTACATTTTGAAGCCTGTTGCCTATATAATGTACAGTATATACATACAACCTTTTCCTACAAGACACAATGGCAAAAATAAATAAATGCAAAGCCAAGTACAGAGTATACTACCACAATGGTGTAAGTAGGCCTATGAAGGCTAGCACTAATATGACTAGTCATTTTAAGTACTGCATAACCATTTCTAAGAAAGTAAGTTTCTTCTTCCAATTTTTGTTTATGAATATAGAAATTCACATTGCATTTGACAAAGCCTTATAAATAAAATTTGAATTTGTTAACTAAAACTATATATTACAGTAACAAAAAACTGGAAGTGTGTCCTTATAAATAATGTAAAAACTTACCTTGTTTCTGTTGCTCACTGAAACAAACTAAAAGTTAAACTTCTGTTAACTAAAAGTTAAAATACCCCCAATAATACAGAATTCTTACTTTTCTATTTTTTATCACAATCCTTTCTATATAAATCTGAGCACACACTTCTGTTGAACTCAAATAATATAAAGAAGTGTACTAAACCCGAGAAAAATCGAGGAATGATCTTGTACCTATTCGCTGCACAATTGCATAATTAACGGACATGTTGAAAAGCTATATAAAATACAATCACCATATGCAAGTGTGCGCACACACACAACATCAAAGAATATTTCAAGGTAAGTTTTATATATTGTGCACTTAGATTAAAAAAATTTCCCCATGATCTAGGCAAGTAGGCATGAGCACCAACTTCAGACCACTTGATACGCTATTAAACAAAAACAAAATTGTACACAAAATTCTTCACCGTGGCTTAGATCACATGCAACCGAGATTCCACATAAGAGGTGAGCAAGAGGTAGACGTATGAAGTTTTGAAGCTGCTCTGAATATTATGACCAAAGTGTATACTTGACCAAGGGGAAGGGGTAAAGAGTGAACCATCAGTGTACACGTGACCAAGGGGGAGGGAACCATCTGTGTACATGTGACCCAGGGAAGTAAACCATCAGTGTACATGTGACCGAGGGGGGAATGAACCATTAGTGTACATGTGACCAAGAGGAGTGAACCATTAGTGTACATGTGACCCAGGGGAGTGAACCGTCAGCGTACGCGTGACCAAGAGGAAGTAAACCCTCAGTGTACAAAGTGAACCATCAGTGTACATGTAACCAGGGGGGGGGGGACTAAACCATCAGTGTATGAAGAAGTCAAAACAAACAAGCTGCAAAAGGTCAGGCATTACACTGAATACCTTTTTACCATATTTTTCCTACAAAATAATAATTTGTCAAAATGCTAAATAATTTAAAAGATCCACTGTTTGGCCTACTGCTTAAATTGCATCTTAAAAACAAAAATAGAGAAATAGGTCTTTCATTCTCTTGTAAAGTGTCTCCCAAACCACAGAAATGAAAAACTTAATCGAGATAAAGTCGTGTTGATTAATAGTTATAATATTTGTGCTTTACTAAGTCCTTAACATAAATCTTTATGAAAACTAATTCATTTCAGTGCAAGAAGCCAGTTATTATTACAATGGGATTCGTGTCTTGGACTGGCTGCTAAAATGTATAGCTATTCAGCACAAAGAAGCCTGTTATACGGAAGATTATATTTATATAAATGACCTGTCAGTGCAGATGACCTGGCCTCGGCTGCCCATAGACGTGATGTTAACCCTACCTTCCTGAATGATTATTTTCCTTTTATAAATGTGCACTACCAAATTACTAATCTGTCTGCCCTATTTTCTCCATTTCCAATCTTTCCCCTTAAATGTGCCTTTCTATCAATGTATCCTTCCTTCTTCATCGCTTACATGTGAACACTGAGACAAAGCTGCCTACTTTGTAAACACTTATCTTTCACTGACAACTACTAAACCAGCATGAAGAATTCTAAATGTTTGGGACAAATTTGATATGTGGTTACCCACTTAAATTTCAACTGAAGAATTTATATTATGACATAGAAAGTCCATCAAATGTAAATGGTAGCCAAAAATGGAGTTGCTGATCTTTTAATGCAGTGATAAGCTCAAGGCGTTCACTCATTAGGGAAAATATCAGATTGGTTTGAATGATTTCAAATGAATAGCTTATCTATCTTTGCATTGGCCCTGGACATTTCCCATCTTGTAGCGAGATTTCCGCAAGTGTTGCTTTTGTCGGCAGGTGTGTTAAAGTTGGAAGACTGCGCTCCTTTTTGTCAGCGATTCCTTGGCTGGGACAACATGAAGACTTGGGCTCTTCTGCTATTTGCAGTGTGGGAGCCTGATCAATGTTCCATCCCATCGTCCAGAGAAGCGGCTTGGAAGTGGTAATTGTGACTAACCCGCAGGAAATGGGATCAAAGGTATTGGAGGTGCTCACCATGTGTCCAAATGCTAACACTTGATTATCTGTTGAACAAGATGTCATTACAGTACTATTTCCTAGTTTGTTTCTCATTCATAAATATATATATATATATATATATATATATATATATATATATATATATATATATATATATATATATATATATATATATATATATATATATATATATATATATATATATATATATATATATATATATATATATATATATATATATATATATATATATATATATATATATATATATATATATATATATATATATATATATATATATATATATATATATATATATATAGTGATTAGTTATTTAATATCAATGTACAGGTTTAACCCTTCAGGTATGTGATTGTTTTAGCCCTGGACATCTCTTTGGTCTCATCAATTTGTATTCATTCATTCATGAATGTGAAATAAAAAAAAAAAAAAATTCTTTGGCTGCAATACATTGAGAAAGGGAATTTTTCAGTGTAATTTCAGGCCCCACGGTGCCAAAAATCACAATAAATCTATGAATAAAATATATATACTGTACTGTACAATATATGGAAAATTGCACAAATTACTATTGCTAGTGAACTCAGTACAAAATCAAGCCTTGACTATAATGAAATGCCTTTTTCTAGGCATCTTTAGTATCTGCCTGGTAATTACCCAAGTGTAATTACCTAAGTGTAGTTACAGGATGAGAGCTGCGCTCGTAGTGTTCCGTGCTCCCAGTACTCTGTCACATGGTGTATTGGCTCTCCTACTACAGGAGAGCCAATACACCAGAGTATACACGAGAGAGTCACTACAGAGACATTCACAAAACTACCAGACCTTTGGGGTTTGTGCAAGCCTACCAAACACAAGGACCAGAATCTGGCATGCTCATAGGGTCAAGGAGAGCATGGAGGAGTAGAGAACAACTTCATAATAAAGTCAAACTGGCCTGAAAGTACATAGGAAGCAAAACAAACTACAGAATGTATATTGATGAAAGGTAAAAAAAAAAGATGGGAGGGAGGGAATTATCAGGGGAAAAGTGCCAAGCCATAACGACTACATAACACTTGGAAGGGGTCAGAATAAAGATTTGGGATGGGATGGGGAAAAAGAATGGTGCCAACCACTTAAGTGAGACCTGCATGAAGTGAGACCATCGCTCTGTCCAGAAAAAAAAAGATGGAAACAAGTATGCATACACTAGTACCCAATAGCAGCACATCACCCAAGGGTTCCACCTTCCTGCCCACCTCATTTACTGTACAGGCCATGAGAAAGATGGGGCAACAAAAGGTGAGCATGGGGGAGCTACTGAGGCTGCTCAGAAAAGGGCATTTCATTACCAGTGTTACCAGTACTACCAGAATTCAGGGCACCAGTGCATTATGTGTGAAGTTCCTAACACTTCCAGTATGTACTCCTAGTGGCACTAGTGTTGAGCAATGCTGGCATCACCCAGAGAATCAACTCTCCCAGGATGGGAGAGTTGCCTAGCACTGATGCTTTCAGGGTCTCTACCACTAGCACCACTAGCAATAATATTAGTGTCTGGGCAGTGCTTAGCACCAATGTTGCCAGCACAGAGCAGCACTGCTACCAATTTCAACTGTCAACTTGAAGTAATTATCAAAAGAAGCCATATTGCAGGATATTCTAACAGTCCTAAATATCACTCAGGATGCCTAATGCTAGAGCAAAACGACATGATATGAGTGTCAAAGGAATTGAATTCACTGAAGATCTTGAGGGACAAATGACTAAAAGGGAACTTGGCAAAATGTTAACTAAGAGCATCCACACACTGGAAACAAATATTTTACGCACTGTATGTAATATGCCTCACCATATTAAAAGTACACAATAACAATATTAAATATTTATTTACTTAGATTCCATTTTAAGCCAGTAGTGGTGACAGTGGATGGCTGTCCAACTGGTACGAGACCACACCAGGACCGTTTTGGATTGAATATGATATCTTCTGGTATCTGGATGCTGTGGTCTCCGGCAGTTAGCAGCCAGTATAAGCTTCCTCCGCTAATAACAACTACAGGAACCGAGATCACAGCTTCTATCTGAAATGTCAACATCAAGTTATATAACTAAAAATGTCAGCAATCACAGTATTTTTTCCCAGTGGCTGTGTATATTTTTTCTTCAGAACAGAAATTAAGGCATGCATATATCTGCATATAACACACAATGTTACATGCAGGCGAGGAGTCACAATGTGGCTGAAAAATGTCGACCAAACCACACACTAGAAAGTGAAGGGACGACGATGTTTCGGTCCATCTTGGACCATTCTCAAGTCGATTGTGCAGTGCGTCCTGGAGAATGGTCCAGGACGGACCGAAACATCGTCATCCCAGAAGTTAGCTTAGTGTTGTGTCCTGGGATAGGTCAGCTGTGGGTCTAAGCCTAAAAAAGTTTTCTGTCCCCAAAAAGAAGGAACCCTTCTTACTGAGTGGTATTCTAGCCTGGGAAAAAAATTAGAAGTTAAATTTTTAGAAGCCTCCCATGCTGGATATAGATATAATCTCACTAAGTCTTAGAAAGTGTGTTGTGATAATATGATTTAGTTCGTTGAATGTAAATCATTACAGTGATGCTGTATATCCATTCAACAGTACATATCCTTGAGGAAGGAAACATATTAGTGCAAGTTTAAAATAAATCTTGATTAATGATTTGCTGTGACTGCAAGAAGCGGAGGTGTGAGTATCATGTGATCGTACTTGAGGACAAGTTAACAACTCGCAAGTACCTGAGACCAAGAGCTATGCAAATAGTGACAAGATGATGTAGGATGTAGCCATTAAACAAAAGATGGCCACTATTTAACCATCTATTTATTTCTAAATATTTAACCATTATTTATTTTTAAAGGTCATGAGGGATTTGGATGTGAACACTTTGGTATAGTATGTGGAATAGAGTCTTATGTAAGCCAAGTTGTGAGTAGCAGCACTGTTCCAGATTTACACTCTGTGTTCATCCTTATAAGTGCATTGATTTGCTGTTCGTTTCATGTCTACACTTTTGTTTGAAGCACCAATTCACAATCAAATGATGACCTTCCTTTGTAAGTGTATCTCTCACCCTGATTAAAAAAATTGCAGTGTCTGGTGGCACACTGGTCCTGCACCTCTTGAACAATTTGTCTAGGTTCAAGTCCTGGCCAGGGAGGATTGTTTGCGTGTCAATCCTTAACCGTTTGTCACTGTTCACCCATCAGTGACTGGGTACCAGGTTGTTAACCAATTTGCAGGTTGTGTTCCAGGAAAACTTGTGGGTAAGGTCTTACCAAAGCTCTCAGCATGCTAACAAAAATCAGAAGTTGTCTGTTCCTGTACTCACTTGTGTACATCAGCTTATTTTCTGAATTGTAGAGCTTGGACTAAAGACCATATTATATATATAAAAAAAGTTATCTAAAAGACAGGCTATATTGCCATCATCATGGTACAGTACACAAATGAATATCATGCACAGCCACACATGCATCCTTACCTTGTACAGTGTTGCAATATTGGCAATTACATGATCAAAACGTGTATTGTGCAACCCTGCGATTACAACCACATGCTGAATCTGAAAAGCAAAGCAACACATTATAATTTGAGATATAATTCCAGTGTTCTTATACAGCCTCATCAGTACAGTGCTGACTAAAGAACATTCTATAATGCAGGATACTTAGTCAGTTTATATATTTAAAGAATGATATGAGAAACAAGTAGGCTAAAGCCAGAGAACTGAAGTATTGTACTAAATATGTTATAGCGAGGATATGAATTACACAAACAATACACACATATGGGTTTGCTCTAAGATGAATTGAAAAGCAACATAACAGGGAAACTTTTTTGTTTAAATAATAATAGCAGGGTACTGAAGATATAATACTAATTAATTCATTTTGTCAGGGACAGGAAGCATGAGTGTGTGTGTGTGCGCGCGCACGTGCATGTGTGTATAATTCATAATAATAATTCATTGCATCAGGGGACAGGTAGCCAGTGTATATGTATATACATGTTAGGCTTATATCAAGGTTCCCTTCCAAGGTTGAGTTACTGACCTTCAAGATGCAACCCCACAACAAGTTGACTAACTCCTGTGTATTTATTTACTGGTAGGTGAATAGAGCAGTAGCTGATAGGATATGCCAACAACCATTTCTGCCCTGCCCTGGATCTGAACCCCAAATTCGCGATTATGAGTTGGGAACGAACATGACTGTACTTCCGGGACCCTAATAAACGCTTAATGCCAACAGCATTTGGTGTTCTCAGGCAGTCACCTATCCAAGTACTAACCAAACCCAACGTTGCTTAACTTTGCTGATCGTATGAAAAGCGGTGTTCACAATGTGGTATATATATGTATGTATAAACACACTAACTGACTGTTTTTGGCAGGGAAATTCTAGTAACGACCAGCTAAATAGTAGACTAGAGTTCAAGAACCACTGAGGCATCTGTTTCTCATTCTGTATCAGTTTTTTCTAACAGGAATCAACCAGATTGACAAAGAGGAATTCCTGAAACCAGCAACTTCATGAACAAGAGGACACAGATTCAAGCTAAGGAAACAAATGTGCCCAAAAAATTAAAAAAGTTTCTTTTGCAAACAGAGCGGTAGATGGTTGGAACAAGCTAAGTGAGAAGGAGGTGGAGGCCAAAACCGTCAGTAGTTTCAAAGCGTTATATGGCAAAGCGTATTGGGAAGATGGGACACCACGATCGCAGCTCTCATCCTGTAACTACACTTAGGTAATTACAGGTAACTACACTTAGGTAATGCTTAATTTGTATTTGACTTCGACACACCTCTTCACTATGACACTGAAGGTGAAATACAACAAAAATGCTCTACGGTTATACTCGCCTCAAAGTTTCTCTCCTCAATAAATTTCTCCAATACTCTAACAGCCTTGGTAAAGTCCGTTTCATCTTGGCTGGGAGTCGGTACGATATTAACCCCAAGACTACTGTATAATTTCAGTAGCTCTGGCTGGGCCGAGTCAAAGTCACCCGTAATGATATCAGGCAGGGGGCACGAGTTACAAGGTAATCCATTGGTCAAACCGCTTGTAACTGAAGACCGGAAGGTTGATGGTGATATATCACTGGGCGCAGGAAGAGATGGTGTACTTTGGTGCTGCATGAGATTGTGATAGGAATTGGTGGCACCATCCACACATACTCGCACAGAAGCTGAAATAACAAAACACTTAACTGTTGTAACTACTACAGTATAAGAATTAACCAATCTACAGATTAAGAACACAGTAAAGAAAATACAAAGTGAAGATAAACTTACCATGCTGCCACAGAAAGTTCACATATTGCATGTTGGTTTCATCCAAGGCTTCATTGAGAACAATGACTGCATACTGCAGTCCTGGAGATGGATGGTAATATTCCTTGGGCTCCCAGCACAACCTTCCATCTCCATTCTCCATTGTTCTATCTGCAGAAAGTAGAACATTAGAAATATTGTACTGAAGTCAGGATGAAAAAGCAGTTCAGTGAAAAAGACTTCAAGAAACAATTCTAAACTACACCATATATATAGGTCAGAATAAAGTTTGATAAATAATAATAAGTTACCTACTTTGTTGGGGACAGAAAGCCTGTGTCCACTATACTGTATGTATATAATTCAGGCTTTTGTCGAGGTCTCCCCCTAAGGTCAAACAACTGATGTTCCCCAGGATACAAATCTACAACAGTTGCCTAACTCCTGGGTATGCAGTTACTGCTAAGTTAGCAGAGGCATTAGGTGAAAGGAAGCATGCCTAACCATTTCTGGCCCAACCAGGAATCAAACCCGAGATTCCCAAATTGTGAGTAGTGAACGAGGCCAATTGTACTGACACCCAGAGTTCATAAATCATACAGAAACTATACACAGTGCATACCAGTATTATTCACTAACCATACAGAGACAATACACCAGAGATTTGTAACTGGCAATCTTTGGGCCAAATCCAATCCTTGAGTCATCTTCTTTGACATGGTCAGATGATTCAAGAAAATAAAGTGAATTAACTGATTTTTTCCTTTTTAATTTCAACAGATTAATCCTCGGGGGTCCAGGTGTATCTCTGACAAACTGCCGGCTTCCTGTTCCCCCCGTCGAGACTACTAGTAAGATGGTGACCCTCAGGTAAATTCAGGTCAATTACGATTAGTTGGCCAAATCTTGGGGTGGTGGGAAGTGACCTTCCTTAAGACACCGGGTGTGCCTGTGGCCTTGGCTTACTTGGATTAGGGAAAGTTTCTTAGCATCCAACTTCAAAATGTGGATTGTTATTTTAAGGAATGCCTTCATATGATAGAAACTAGCACGATTGAAGACACATTACACAAATTAACTTGCTTACCAGCGAGGGAAAACCAGTTTCAGCTGTCAGAAACTTTCGCAGTCACAATAGCCAGCTGTTTACTACACCGGGTCCATGTCACCATCATCTACGGATGAAACATTTACATATCCGCTCTAACTTAAAAATGAAGTATTACGATGGATCTTACGATTTTAATATTTCCAAAATAACAAAAAATAATGCATGAGATATTATGCTAGCTTGCCAGTCGTTAATAGTTATATTTCACGAGTGAGGCAAACATTATCCGTTTTGGGGGTGAATTGGACGCTATTGGGGCATCAAGACGTGTCACCTGAATTTACCTGGATTTACCTGATCAAAGCATCTCTCTCTCTCTCTAGTGGTCTCGGCGAGGACAGGAAGCCTATGGTTTGTAATTTCATATATTATAGTACGTCTAACTGGCAGCTAATTGTATATGAATTCACAGTACAGTACTCTAATATTTTATTTCCAATTTTGACTTTTAAAAAAGGAAGCCATTTAGGATAGTCGAGGTCCCTTTGGGCCAACTATTGACCTTACTCAAGATGCAACCCACAACAGCTAATTAGCTTCTAGGATACTGGGTACCTATTTACGGCTAGGGGGAACAGAACCATCAGGCTAAAAAAAGAATGCCCTAAATGTCTTAGTAATTGTTTTTGTTTTGCCCCGAGAGGCGAGTTCATTGGGCTGCTCCACTTATCCTGTGAGTGGACACACCGCCATAGCAACATGTACAACACTCCTCAATAGGAAGAAAACCCGCTGGCTCAACCTCACTTCGTTGGAAGACAGAAGAGTTAGGGGGGACATGATCACCACATTCAAGATTCTCAAGGGAATCGACAGGGTAGATAAAGACAGACTATTTAACACAAGGGGCACACGCACAAGGGGACACAGGTGGAAACTCAGTGCCCAAATGAGCCACAGACATATTAGAAAGAACTTTTTTAGTGTCAGAGTGGTTGACAAATGGAATGCATTAGGCAGTGATGTGGTGGAGGCTGACTCCATACACAGTTTCAAGTGTAGATATGATAGAGCCCAGTAGGCTCAGGAACCTGTACACCAGTTGATTGACGGTTGAGAGGCGGGACCAAAGAGCCAAAGCTCAACCCTCGCAAGCACAACTGGGTGAGTACATCTAGGTGAGCACACTATCCAACAGTAAGACTAACTGAACGTTTATTCGACGTTGCATTAGAGTTACTCTTGGATATTGTGCTCAATGGGAAGGTGAACCATAAGGTATCTGACCAAGACAAGTCAGGCCCCAAGCCTCGTTGAAGAAACAGCAGCTCTGAAAATCAACTATGGTGAGACTTTCCAAGTGAATAAATCATTAGGTTGGATGTATTAACCTGGATATATCAAGTTGGTTGTATTATCTTGGATGCATTAAGTTATAAGGATGTGCTTACTAGCTTAGGGTAGGCTGTGTTGGGCAAAGTTAGGTTAGGATGGGTAGGGTATGGCAGATTTTAAAATCCGCTGGGAAAGCGTCTATAGTACAGTAGGCTTCGTTCTCGACTCACACTCGAGGATCTTGGGTTTGATTCCCGGTAGAGACAATAAATCGTTGGGGCCTTTTCCTTTCCCCTAATGCCGCTGTTCATTTAGTAGTAAATAGGTGCTCGGCTTAAGCAAATTTTCAACCTTGGGGGCAGAGTACTGTCTGGAGCGAGAGTTTGTTAATGTTCTAATAGCAGCTTTGTGTTGAGTAATTAGAGGACGTAGATGATTTTGGGTAGTAGAACCCCAAGCACAAATACCATAATTGAGATAAGGATAGATGAGAGAGTAATAGAGCGTCACCAGGGCATGGGGGGTGGGTAGAAATAGCCTAAGCTACTCTATCCCTTTGAGATGTATTTCTTTCTTGTCTCAATAAACATACTTGAACTTAACTAGGGCAGGGCGAGGTACATTATATCTGATCTTAGACAGAATGCCAACAGATTTAGAAACTTTTTTGCTGCATGTTGAATGTGGCCCTGGAAATTCAGCTTGTTATCTATGAGAATATCAAGGAAGTCAACCAGTGTTGCCAGATTGGGCTACAAATAGCGAACTGGGCTTCTTTTGAGAGCCCCGCGCTCCCAAATTTTTAATTTCGCTACTTGCTACTTTTTGGGCTAATTTAAAAGCAAAATGTGCTAATTTGGGCTATTAATGTTAAGAATGTACGATTACGAGTTACATGAAAGTAACTAAGCTATAAATAATTGTAATTAATAATTATTGTAAATATTAATTAATACTAAATAATATTATTTAATAAATTAGTCCCAATTCAATGCAGAGTTTTCTTCCAAGCACAGAAACTTGTAAATATACAAGATAATAGATAGATCGATAAATAAATAGACAACTTTCAAATATTGCACCAAGTAATAGCGAGAGGAAAAAAAACTAGACAGTATACATTACATTTGAAATTAATAATGGATGAATGGTAATAAATTGGTGTATGTATACCAGACAAAGTTCATTTAATGGCAGAATTTAGCCATTTTGTGTAAAAACTTATATCTCATATTATTAATTATAACAGTAATCGAAAAAAGTCATAGTTTGTATATACAAGAGATGAAACAGAGAGCCATGAGCTAGAGCGATGTGCTGAGCCCATAAGGAGGCCGAGCTTCCAGAAATACCTTCCTGTGATTGGCTGTTGCGGGGAATACCAACACTCTTTTATTAATAAAATTTAAACTAAGAAATAGGTCCTTGTGCACAACAACAAGGTTGTTGTGAAAAAGAACAACAATTTCTGATTTGCACCTGACAGAAATCTCCATTTAACTGAATAATTTACTCGAATAAGAGGGCAGAGCAGTGTATCATTATTTGTGTCAAGGCAACCCCCAATAATAACGTCTCAAGTTAGGTAGCCAGCCCATTTTTATATAACATCTGTTATATCCTGCAATATTTAATTATCACTTTATTAACACTTTAAATAATTAACACTTCACTTTTTTGGGTAAATTAAAGTTAAAGCAGAATTCCATAAGCAGGACTGGTGGGCTGAACTAAGATGATTTACTAAGTGGATGGCACCTATAGCTGATCCCTTCCTGTGATTGGCTGTTACGGGGAATGCCAACGCTTATATGAATAAAATGCAAAATAAGAAATACGTCCTTTAGCTCAATAAGGTTGTTGTTGTACAAAAGAACAACAATTTCTGTTTTATACAAGACAGAAATTTTCATCTAACTGAATAATGTAGAGTAATAAGAGGACGGAGGCATTGTATCGCCGATATTATTTGTGTGAGGCAACACCCTCTGATGACGTCACAAGTTAGGTAGCCTATAGCCCATGTTTCTGTAACACTCGTTACGTCCTGCAGTATTTAATTATCACTATATTAATACTTTTAAATACTTAACATTTCACTTTTTAAGTAGATTAAAGTTGAAGCAGAATGTCATAAGCAACGATGGTGTCCTGAATAAAGATGATTTATTAAGTGGATGGAGCCTTTAGCCGATCCCTTCCCGTGATTGGCTGTTGTGTGAATGTCAACAAAGAATATCTACCAATTATATGCCATTTATTATGCACCCCATACCACTTGTGGGCGGAGCTTGGAACCTCCTACCCGAGCACAACAACCCGCCTAATGGGTTGCTTTGGAAAAAAACTAGATGGCGTTAGTGGTATTTCGTGGGGTAATTTGTTATAAGTGTAATTTGATGTCAACAGATGGCGTAAGCTGTATCTTATGGCTACTGTTGACCAGCCAGTTGATAGTGTTCTCTTCTGCCGACAGATGGCATCAGCTGTGTTATTATTACTTCCGAATTCCCTTTAAACACTGATCTACAAATCCCTTGGCTTATGATAAGGTTTTATACCATTTATGATAAGTATTAGATAACTGGAGTTCCGCAATTACTTTTATTTATCAACTGTTCAGGATATCATCATATAACGTCTGGTTAGGACGTACTGCTCTCGATTGATGAAGATTAAGCCACCCAAGAGGTGGCACGGGCATGAATAGCCCGTAAATACTGCTCTCGTAATATTATTCAGTTAGGGGGTGGGGGAACTATCAAGTGAAAGCGCCAAGCCATTACGACTATATAGCACTCGGAAGGGATCAGGATACGGATTTGGGATGGAACGGGGGAAAGGAATGGTGCCCAACCTCTTGGGCGGTCGGGGATTGAACGCGGACCTGTAGGAAACGAGACTGTCGCCCTACCGTCCAGCCCAAGTGGTTAAGCGTAATATTATTAATAAAACAACAATTTATGCATATAATAACAGCATTTCACACTAAAAATACTTGGATGTATTGAGATTTGGTAGTGAATTTCAATCTAGGAATCTCCTATGACTAAACTGTACTTTTTAATCATTTTCATGTACTTACTACTTATTATTAAATTATTATGTACTTTCTATAATAATTAAATAAATTATTTTATTTAATATGTAAATTAAATGATAAAATAATAGGTAATAATAAATCATTGTGTAAGAGGACAGGCAGCCAGTGTATATATACATGTTAGGCTTATACCAAGGTCCCACAAAGGTGCCACAAAGGTGCCAAATTAAAGACTGGGAGCTGTCGGGGTGGGCCCAAGGGCTGCTGGCGGCCCTGGCCAGGCTGAACTTCCGCGCCCTTATAATCACCATTGTTTAATAATCTTCACAGGGAGAAACAACTGTAAATATAGGAATAGTTTATTACAACATACACGGTAAAGAAAACAGCTCGGAAACTAAGGAAATAAAGCTGCCGAAAAAACATTAAAGTCCACTTCAAGTTCAAGTATGTTTATTGAGACAATAAAAAAATACATCTCAAAGGGATAGAGTAGCTTAGGCTATTTCTACCCCCCCCCCCTTCTTCTTCAAGTCCCTCAAGGGGCGCACAAATTCAGTGAGTACAAATACACAAATCACAATACAAGAATCCCATTTAACATAGCAGGTTAAAATAGGAAGCACAGCATATAAGTGTTACAAGTGAGTTACAAGTTACAAGGGAACTGAGAAGGCGGAATTAACAGTGTGTAGTGTACTCTATATATCCAAATATATTACTTTGAAACCCATATCATTCACTAA